TTTCATGCTTAAGCCTCTCCTCTTCTTGAACACACATAGTCAGAATTTCATTGATGGGTCATTTTTCTTTATGTGTGTTATAAGAGATCTTGAATGGTCCAAATTCTGCAGTGAGAGAGTTAAGTATGAACTGAACAAGAATTGACTCAGATATCTCAACCTCAAGAGACTTAAGTTGAGCTGCAATGTCCCTCATTTCCATAATATGTTCATGCACACTCCTAGATTTGTTATGCTNATATTTCATGTCATGCCCAAAATCCCATAACACATTCAAATACTGTACATATATAGTTCCTAATGGCATGTTTAGATATTGGAAAATATTTTTGATAATCAAGGCACGTTATGTCAACAACGTACTGTGTAAACACAACTCTAGTAGCTTTAATGTGATCGAACATCTCCTTTATATGACAATAAATTTGGTTCCAAAAATATTAATTAGTTCGATAAAATATTGATCAACTGTATAATCATAAATTTGAGCCAAATACTGGATGGGTATAAAAGAAAGTCACTGTTCTGGCCAAAACTTTCGTGTTCAAGACTTGAAATTTTTATTTTTTTTAAGAGATGCGCAAAAATTTCTTTACAGTGATACGAATTCTAAGTAATGTTCAGATGCCAATGGATCTTNCAGACTTAGGCGATTAGATTGCTTCCACCGCTCATAGACACTGTTTTCAATCAATGAACTTAACTCAGTGGGTACTGGAGGTTTTTCAATGCGAAATGTCAAATCTAAGTCCATACACCCTAATGTCAAGAGAATTTTGTTATTCTAATCCAAAAAATTTCCACCGCTCAACAATGGAATGTTAGAAGACTCATTAAATAAAGAGGTAGCAACAACTGCAATAGAATATAATAAGTACTTTGAAATAATAACGGTAAAATTCAATAGAGCAAATCTAAACCTTCTTTTGGGTAGAGGTCATAAACTGTACAAGATTTGCTTTTTATTCTTTATAATAAGATTAATAAATTAAGATATTAAGGAGCAAAGGATCCCAAAACTTATGGGTATAAGGTATCCAAAGCCCTTAATACTCCATTCAATATCTTATTCCAATTAAGTAGTATAAAATAAATATTTTCCTGTGGAGCTGAGTAATTATCTATAACAACTTAATTGCAATATGAAGATATTAAACATATATTTAATATGATCAAACTAAATGTTGATCATTCACTAATATAACTCAAGATGTGGCTATTCTTAAGTTAATATGATATCTCTATGTGACAAAGTTCATGATATAAATAAATTCTTAAATTCATGTCTTCTCAAGACTACATTCTATGAAAACCAACATGCATCTATCATAAGCAAAATTAGTCTATAAGCATGTTAACATTACTGAGTGATTATCAGAAGTAAATCCATGAGCATAAGTCATGAAAATCATAGCCATGAACAGCTTTAGGTTGAAAAAGTGATTTTCCCATATTTCATGTCATGCCCAAAATCCCATAACACATTCAAATACTGTACATATATAGTTCCTAATGGCATGTTTAGATATTGGAAAATATTTTTGATAATCAAGGCACGTTATGTCAACAACGTACTGTGTAAACACAACTCTAGTAGCTTTAATGTGATCGAACATCTCCTTTATATGACAATAAATTTGGTTCCAAAAATATTAATTAGTTCGATAAAATATTGATCAACTGTATAATCATAAATTTGAGCCAAATACTGGATGGGTATAAAAGAAAGTCACTGTTCTGGCCAAAACTTTCGTGTTCAAGACTTGAAATTTTTATTTTTTTTAAGAGATGCGCAAAAATTTCTTTACAGTGATACGAATTCTAAGTAATGTTCAGATGCCAATGGATCTTTAAAAGTACTAAAGTACAAATATGTTTACTGTGATATAAAAGTACAAATATGTATCGTGTTTGACTTGACCTATGAATTTCTAACTCCTCATTCAATTGGCAGAAAAATTTTCATCTGACACGGGGAGTCGTACGGTGAAAATAACCAGCGTTATTTCAAAGCTTTGTACAATTTCAACAGCTTTAAGTTTTTATTTTTGGGAATGAGTAAGACACAATTTAATATACAAATTCTTTAGATTTCTTTCGGGAGAAAAGTCGTCATATATGTAATAACTGAATAAAATGGATTGAAGAATCGCTCTGATACCGATTGATAGACTTTATTAAAGAATTTAATCTTTTTATTTTGTATAACGGAATTGAATATTTACTTTCTATCATTAATATTCAAGTTCGAGAACAAAAAATTCGAATTCTCTGTAGAAAGAATAATCAACGAACCCAACGATCCCAACAAGTACGAATCTTGGCCTCAACACTCAAGAACAACCTTACAAATATGTACTGTATAGAGATATATAAGACAAAAATTTCTTTCTTACGTATATGATATCTGAATACTATATGACTTGATGAAAAATCATAGGCATGAAAATATATATAGACAGGGACCTTATCCAATAGAGAAATAGTAAGTAATGTTCTTCCATCAAGGAGTTACAATTGTTTTAAACTGCTCTATGATGGTCACTCCATCTAATAATGAGAGTTGTGAGTAGTTATTTTAACATCAATTACCCAGAAGTATTTGACTCAGAAAATAAGATATATATTAAATATACATAATACTTAGTTATTAAAAAGATGATATGACACGTGGGTTATTTTAAGTCTTTAATTAGAGATAGAGTCCAATATTAATTAGACATAAAGTCCAACAANAGTTATTAAAAAGATGATATGACACGTGGGTTATCTTAAGTCTTTAATTAGAGATAGAGTCCAATATTAATTAGACATAAAGTCCAACAATTACGTCTCTTTGGACTATTATCCATTTGTTACATAACTTACACTTCATATTTATATGGGGTAGAAGTGTCAAAATATGACACGACACAAAATTAGGGAGTTTAAATATTTCTTAAGCCACTTATTCGACATGATTAATAAACAAATCGTATAAAGGTGAAGCAAATTAAAAAAAATATACGAGACGATTCGTTTATATATTAATTATATACAATTCGTACATAACCTGAACTCGATACTACACGAATTAATAAATAAATTTGATATGAGTGACATAGTTTTTGGCACGAACATATTAAGACTGGAACCAAATTCATCTCACTTGACTGGGCTAATGCACGAGATGGATTGGCGAGAAGTTGATATGTAGGCTGGTGTTTGATATTGCAACACACAGAAACGGTTGAGTGGGTGCGCCGGAGGTGTTTTTCGAGTATACCCTCCGATACTCAAGTCCGGCACCTACAGGGAGTGGGAATGCAAAAACTCAAAAAATAATTAAAGTAAGAGCGTCTTAAAAACGTCATATTAGATGAATACAATACATATTCATTGATAAAAGTTAATAAAAATATAATTTTAAATTTTAAATTTCATGCACTGTAACAAATTATTTAATTTTTGAATATATGTTAATTATAAAATCTCAAATTGATAATCATAAATGACAAATATAATTTTAATTTGATATACATCTTTAACTATAAAAACACTCACAAATATAATAAATTATTTATAAAAGTGATAATTTATTATGTGTCAAAAAAAGTGATAAAATACCTATAACAGTGACAAATTATTCATAAAAATTATAAAAATATCCACTAAAATAATAAAAATTATAGGTACGATAGTTAGAGATTTTCTTAGCTACCGTAATCAAATCTTAACGTTGTTGAAGCTCCGAAAATTCTAATTGAATGTTTTCTCGAGTCAGTCTTAAGGGACGAAAGCTTTCTCATTGGCTCTTCTGGATGGTGTATGTCATTTGAAAAGTGGTTGTTCCTACAACAGACGTCCTGCCTCTGACCCATGGCAAGGGTGTCAGAGTAGGAGCGCTTCTCATTGGCCTTAAAGGTGTGGTTGTGCGCTAACTTTGAATGGAGAAATTTGTAATACCAAATTTTTTTTTTTTAAGTATCGATATCGTAGTTTATTATTTTTTATAATAAAATTATAACTTTAAAATAGAAAATTATAATTGTTCAAGAAAATGACATAATCAATCATAAACACTTATAATAAATAATAAAAATCTCTGCATCGATCTTAACATTTCGTGATCGATTATGCATTTTGAAATTATAACTTACACCTTAGAAAAATTATAATTTAAACTAAAAAAATTATAATTTTTTGTACCGATACTGCCGGCGATACTGTAAAAGTTCCCTTTTTGAGTGAGTCGGTTTCTATCCTGCAACAATTTTTTTTTGAACATGATCCTGCACCATTTGGATGGTTCAATTTGACCACGTAAAGATGGATGGATCCATTCGGAGGGTGTTCTCATTGGTTCCTCACCCAATGCATCCCAATCTTATTGATTATTATTGCCAGATTTTCTTCGAACTTGGTGCAGCCACGAGCACAGGCGATGACTGTGAGAAAACCTACTTAGCGTGATCAGACTATTGATGAAGGCAATTGGGGTACTTTCTTTGGTTCGTTGGTTCCCCAGTTCTTACACATTGCCTACCCCAGACACTGAGGTTGATGTGTTCCAATTCCCATGGCTCGATCTCAGGATCTCGAGGACATTCCAATTGCTCGACAGATCATCCCACTCGACACCTGGGTTTCATATGGACGACAAAAGTAGTCCTTTAGTATTTCCAAGTTGCAATTTCTAAGACTGAAATCAGACTTTTCAACACCCCAACAACAAACAATCTGCACGGTTGATGAAAGGCCTCAGAAACCTCCAGCTTTGCGCACATACATCTCAAGTTAAAATATAAAAATTTCAAAGGCCAATAATACTGTTGTAGAAGAAAGCATTTAACTAAATATCAAGGCAAAACATGACAATGGTCAAAAAAATAGTTAACTGTAACCATTGACATTCGAAAGGATCATAACCGATGGTGCAGAGGCAGAGTAAAATGCATAATTTCGAAGTAAAAACATATGCATAAGTGGCAATTGAATAAAATAGAGGAAATGCTGTTCTTCTATGCAGGCATATAAAATGGTTGACATGCATCCCAAAAGACATTTGGAAAGGAAACAAGGTTTCTCTGATATTAATCCCAAAACAACAATAACAATAACAATAACAATAACAACAAAAAGTTCTCAACACCATTAAAGGTTTAAAGCTTAAAACAACTTGAAACAAGAGACAAAAGCTAAGATAAAAGGGTTTTCCACTTCCCACTGAGAGAATCTAAAGAACCTCAAAACCTTGAAAACACTAAATAATATCAAAATTTAGTTCATTCTCCTGATGAACTCATTGATATAATCTTCACGGTTCCCAGCATCTCCTCCTTCTACATAGTGATTCCTCTTCTTCTTCAGACCACCCAATGGTGCCTTAAGTTGGAATGGCCAGAGGAAATTGTTAGCCTCCTTAAAACGAGGCCCTACTGTCAAGATCTCATGAACAAGATCTTCCACACAGATAATGTTATATTTGCCCAGAGCCTGTCATCACAGTAGTAAGTCAGCAACAAGAGAGTGCGTATCATTACAAAACCACACTAACACAATTGCACAGCACAAACCACAAACCTGTTCGACTATTGAATTATCAGTCAAAGCAATCCTCTGTTTGTCCAGCTTGCCATACCCCCTCTTGTAAATTAATTCCCTCACACTCTTCAAATTGGGGTACCTGAAAACAAGCAAATTTCAAAAAATATGACGTCCTGTAATATAGATTTAAAACTCTTTACAGTCATAACAATTAATGCATACCCATAAGTCACATAAGGCTCAACCCTGTGCAGCATATTCATTGTAGCTTTGTTGACTTTAAGGAAGACGCCATTGAAAATCTGTGTTGGAAGGAAAAAGACAATTAGTTAACAAAAAGTTTAAAAGACTCTGCACTCTCAACTTGCACAAATATCAAATAAAAGGAAGCATTTATTTTAACCTATAATAATAGGATACAAATAAACACGTTATGCTTAATTCCTCAACAATCAAAATAGAGCTAAAATATACCCCCAATACTAAGTTGAGGGAAATCCTATCCCCTAAGACACAAATTAAAAAACCATGAAAAGCACAAATGAAGGATCTGTCAAGTCACCTGTCTCAAACGCAGAAGCTGCAATATTTTCCTTGTTTTTGGGTGCATAGCATTGATACTGGAAGTTCAAAGTAAAAAAAGGTCAAAATAAATCACAGAAAAGGAAAGCTTTCATTACCAATTAAAACGAAATTCAGATTCGAACAAGAAAAATTTGTATACATACCCACGGATGCGAATAATGAACAAAAGCTTTGCTTCAGGGTTGACATAAAATCCGCCTTTCAACCTAGCCTCACGCTTCAATTGAATCAGTTCCTTTTGCTGCATTATAGGTCAGAAAAATCAGTTTTTCAAAAATGAGAAGAGTAACAATAAAAACTAATTGTATAAAAAACAAAAGAAAAAAAATGAAAGACATAGAGAATGATACCTGCTCTTCGTACTCCTCAACGTAATGCTTAGCTCTGTTGTAAATCAGCTTCCGGTTCTCAGCATTTTTCTTCTTCACAGCTTCAAGCTCCTGCTTTTTTGCCAAAGCCCACTCCTCGTTCCTCTTCTGTTTCTTCAAAACAGATTCCGGAACCACACACCCTCTCTTAGCTTGCTCTTCAGCCATCTCTATGCACACAACATAACAATCAATATACAATCAAATAATAATAAAACTAAGCCAAATCATTATATATGTAACCCGATCATCTGTATTAGACCCCTGAAATTACATAAGAACGCATCTAAATCTAGTAAAACAAACAATTGACCCATCACATATCAGAAAATGCAACAAAAAACAATCTAAAAGCGTAAAAACTGAAGGCAACAAACAAAAAGATGATAACTTATGTTAATGCTTGTTTGGCTGCCAAAATGAGAACAATGCTCAACTCAGATGGACTAGGCAGTTGATTTTATATTGCAAGTTGTGGAAAGAACTATAATAGGCGGAAAAAAAACATATGTTCATATTACTCTGCTTACATTTTCAAATCAAACAAAACATAATCTAGATTAAATCCTAGATTCATTAACCTTCCCAAAAAAAAACCTAGATTCATTGCCAACTTAATCAAAACCACAAAAGCTCAACACAGATTACACTCAACTGCTGATTTCAACCATATATACACAACTGAAAAGCAAAATAGAAAAAACAAAAACAAACGTAGAACAGAAAAGATGAATTGTAGACCGATTACCATGAGATTGACAAAGAAATCGAAATGAGAATGTGGATCGAAGTCTACTTACCGAGTGGTGTTGAAGATCGTACTCGTCTACCACTTTCGGGAGGCTTACCAGTTACCTCTTGGCAGTCCGCTCTTTTGAGGCAGAGACTCCAAATTAGGGTTTCTATGGTGTGTTCTGTTTCAGGGCTAAAACCATCCTACGGTTAGGATTTTAGGAAAGCGGAGGAGAGCAAGGAAATCACGGCCGTCGCTGCTGTAGTGTTGTGTTTAGAAGCCCTTTAGTTTGGTTGGGAGCCCAATACATGAACTAGGGCCCCACTCGACCCCTTTTGGAAGCCCTTTAGTTCGGTTGGGAGCCCAATATATGAAATAGGGGCCCACTCAGCCCGTTTTGCTGAGTAGTATGGATTATTTAAAATTTTATTTTCTATCTTCTTTTTTTTTTTTTTTTGTGGGAATATGAATTATTTTCTATCCAAGTTGACCTGTTTGCAAGTCGGCCTATCAACGGATTGAATTATGATCCGAATCTAAATTTGTATTTTTATCGATAATTTGAATTCGAATCTGAATTCGATATCTTGTATTTTCATAAATTCAAATTTGAATATATTTATATCCAATTTGAATAATTTATATATTTTATATAAATATTAAATAAATCAAGTGATTATTTAAATAAATTTAGGTGTAATTTGTTAAAATTTTGTTAATTAAGTTATTCAATTCAGATCGAATTTTCAAATTTTTAACATATTTAGATACAAACCACGAAAATAAAATCTGTCAAATTGTCGAATCAGATTCGGATCGGACTTTTAAAATTAGATTTTAGATTCAAATAAGTCAAAATCCAATACAAACCCGATTCGTCGACACGCCTAATCACAAATTAAGGTTGGCTTTATTATATTCTACTCATATCATGTTTAAGTCGTGTTGAATTAAAATTTTATCAAATTAGTAGCTTACTCAATAACATTTATTTAGGGTTAAGTTTGTGTGGCTTCGAGTTCGTGCTTATGCCACTTAAGCCAATCGTTCACTTTTCCACTTTTCATATTTAGCGACCATTGTGCAACAATCTACTTTGAGTGAGATGATCAAAAACTCATTTCAAAGTTAAATATTTTGAGTTTGAATCACAAGGATAGGTAAGACCATCTATCCCAAAACGTAATCGAGATAATTGCTAGCCCAATAGCTGTACTTTTCCTTTTTCTCGAAAAACTGCTTAGTGAAACTATCAAATTAGCAGTATGAAAATAATAATAATACTAATTTTATAATTTAATATCATTTGATTGATTGATCTTAAGTAATTTAATTTTTTGAAAACTTCTTATCCATTAATGTGTTTATTTTGCAAACTATTCTCCACCTTAATTGTACTTACTAAAATATATGAATTTAAAAACAAAAATAGATAATCATTTTAGGGCTCTTCTAAAATTTTTACAACGGGCCTCAAGTATTATTGGGCCGTACTAACACACTTCATTTGATGAGAAACATGTCGCCAACGGCCAACCTTCTAAATGGTGTAATTCCTGAATGCACAAGGAAGAAGCTGCTGGAGCAATCAAAAATAATTTTTTTCTTTATCTTTCTTTTAAATAACGCAATCTAAAATTCCTGAATGCAAACAGTTTTACAATGAATCAAGATACAATGTTTCAAAGAACAATAAAAAACATAAGACCATTACATCTTAAAAGAGTTTGTTGCTCTATTAAGAGCCTCTTGAACAATGAAGATTATACGAAAGTATGAGTTCTACACAGCTTGTCTTCTTACAAGAGAAGCTTGATGTAGCTAAATCGGAAAGCATGACGATTTCAGAAGGTATAAGAAGCCTCTATCTTGCTCTCTTCTACTTTCAGAAGAGTCAGCAGAAACATGAATAGGCCAAGTGATTCTTCTTTGAGACATAAGGGGAAATGAAATCTGCCGCAGAAGCAGAAGATCCAGGAATGTTTGCCGGAACAAGTATCTGAGTCTTGCCGGAAGCAATTCGCTTACCAGCCACGTTGGAATAGAACAGGCCTGAGATGGCTGGAACAAAGACATCACTTTGGGAACAAATGTAGAAGTCAATAACCTTCTCAAATTCTGAAGAATCAGAGTCGAGGAATTTGGCCTTTTTATCCATGGGCATTATGCCTTCCTGCAATGGTTTTCAAGGCAAAGATATATGAAAAACAATCAACTCGGACATGTACGATACGAAGCTGAAGATATGAGATAAACATCTGATATGCTAAGCATCTGTCCAGAGGGAAAAAAAAATTAGGAGGAAAAGAAATGAAGAAACCCCACCTTAGTATAAGTTTTTGGAAAGAAGTCCTTCAGAGCATCAAGGCTGCTATCCCATCTCGATTGGGTCAGATATATTGTGGTGTCCTTGTTAAAACCAATCTTCCTCAAATATAATCCAATCTCCTCTGGACTGTAACAGCTTTTTAATCCAGAATTACCATTTACTTTGCAACCTTTTTTCTCCAATATGTCAACCCTCAAGTCCAATGCTATGAATTGTCCATCTGACTTCCGACTCAAAGTTCTCAGACGCTCAATCATTGAGTCAACCACTTCATGAACGTCTGGTTGCAGCTCTAGAGTTCCAAACATTGCCAGACATGCAACTGAGTCGATGTTACTCTTTTGTTCACTCTTTTTCATATTTACAGAAGGGAAGTAAGTTGCTAGCCTTATGTTGCCCTTTTCTCTAAAAACTGGTTCAATATTTTCTGCAATGTGGTCTTCGGTAACCCGGTTAGGAACCCTCACTGCCCCGAGATTTCGTGTCGAGACCTCAGCAGGCTGATATTTTGCTACACTGACCACCCCGTCCAGGCTTTTTATAAACTTCTCAACATCATAGATCTCTTCAAAGTTCCTGAATGTTGTGAAGCATGTTAGTTTTATATAGTTTTGTTTTGGTTTACAAATATCTGTTTGTATATATATAATCATGATACAGTAAGTAGACCCTTCAATGGCTAACAAAGTAGAGCATAAATAGAACAACATAGGTGCTTAATGTAGTATTTTCCATACAGATAATTGTTCTCCATGATTGGCCTCTGACCCTTAGGATATCCTAAGCAGGACTCTCAAATGACATCCCAGATTTCTTGGGTGTTCAATTATTTTAACCAATTCATCCAACTGCTTAGGGATGCTTAGTTCAGCTGAGAAATGTTATGGAAAAATAATAAGATATCCACGACGAAATTCACTATTTGCAAAAGAAGTCAACTGAAAAAGCATAGAATGGGGATAATAGTAAGATCCATTTCATGGAAAGAAAATCATTTTCCGGCAGACGATGTATATAGAGAATGTTGGAATGTAGCAAATCGAGATATGATTCTTTTGATAATGTATGCTTCCATGGTTTCAATAAAACTTTTTTTCCTTTGAAAGAATCTAGGAAGTGACCAATTCCACCATATAGAGGAGCACTGTCACTAGTTACAATAAACATTGCCCTTTGTAGGAAATTTTACATTAGTCTCCTTGCCAAGAACTGTTTTATGGAAACAGAGAAAGCAAAACGAAATATACCAGATTATGGAACTAGGGCAAAACATTAGAAATGTAATGATTACATCAATGCATCCCCCTTTCAAGTATAGGGAATTGGTGACAAGTAAGCATCGCAATAAAGAAACAAGACTAACACCAAGATTTTTTTCGCATTCAGTATTGATCTGTTTTTCACTTTCACCCAAGATATCAGTGATTGTCATCCAATTATTCTCATTGACTAAAAGTTACTTAATGGACACAAATACCACAGAAATACCAAATATATAAAAGAAGAAAAGACAGAAACGAACTACGAAACGAGTCATACTGTTCGAACCGGTAGCACTAAATTGAAGCGCAACACACAAGGGTGGAGCTAGACATTTTCTCCAGTGGGGGCAATCTAAACCATATTAACATTAAAATTACAAATGTTCACAAAAGTATAGTTTCATTAATAGAACACCAATTAAAGGCGCAACTAATATACATAAGTGATATACAAAAAGAGCCAACAAAAAAAAAAACTCACTATAAATTTATCTATAAGACCTAACAAAAAATTTTTGAATTGAAAAATTACGCTCAATCATATATTGCATTTTACGAAATTCTTTCATAACTAATTTTAAAATTAATTTGTTCAGTCACAAACTTAATATTCATCATTGAATTTTAACAAACAATTGAATATAACTTAAACTATAAATATTCTATTAAACTAAACCTAGGTATAAGAACTACTTAACTTATCACAATAAAATTATTTAAACCACCAAATCAAAATAATTTAGTCTAACTATAATGGAGGATTACAAGTACCAATTCGAATTCAACAAATAAAAATAAAACAAATGAGAAGATTACAAGTTCAAATTCCAAATCAACATACAAAAATAAAACACTAGAGAGGACTACAAGTCTAAATATCAATTAAATATATAAAAAATAAATCATAGAAGATGACTACAAGGCCCAATTTTATTTCAATATAGAAAAATAAGCCCCAATTTCATATTTTCAATTCAACACATAACAAATAAAATACAACATAGGGCTACAAGCCCTAATTTCAATTAAACATGTAAAAATAAACCACAAGAGAGGATTACAAGCCCAAATTTTCAATTCTAACATATAAACAAAAAACAAATGAGAGGAATACAAGTCCCAAATTTAGTTCAACATATAAACATAAAAAAGAGGATAGGCCAAACCTATTTCGCGGCATATTAGTTAATCTTTAAATCCCTAAATTTCTGATATCATTTAAAATAATTACCCTTAAATCTTTTTGACATTTACAAGCGAGACCCATATATTTGTCAAAATAACATAACTACCCTTAAATCTTTTAAAAAAATTTCAGTGAAAGCAAATTTCTAATAAATTCTAAAATTTTTGAAATTATACTTACTCCCCAAATTTTTTTAAAATTCTAGTTGGGGTAGTTGCCCCCAGTGTGGATCTACAAGTGGCAACACCTCGACTTACGACTTAGGGTTCAAGAGCAATTATTGTAGCACATACCCCTCCTTTTTCTCATTTCTTTTTGTTAAGTTTGGAAGATTAACATAATTTTAGAGACAAAATTTTGGGAGAAACAGAGAGAGGTTAAAAATTTAACTTAACTCTCATACATCACTTGTATTTATACNAGAAGATGACTACAAGGCCCAATTTTATTTCAATATAGAAAAATAAGCCCCAATTTCATATTTTCAATTCAACACATAACAAATAAAATACAACATAGGGCTACAAGCCCTAATTTCAATTAAACATGTAAAAATAAACCACAAGAGAGGATTACAAGCCCAAATTTTCAATTCTAACATATAAACAAAAAACAAATGAGAGGAATACAAGTCCCAAATTTAGTTCAACATATAAACATAAAAAAGAGGATAGGCCAAACCTATTTCGCGGCATATTAGTTAATCTTTAAATCCCTAAATTTCTGATATCATTTAAAATAATTACCCTTAAATCTTTTTGACATTTACAAGCGAGACCCATATATTTGTCAAAATAACATAACTACCCTTAAATCTTTTAAAAAAATTTCAGTGAAAGCAAATTTCTAATAAATTCTAAAATTTTTGAAATTATACTTACTCCCCAAATTTTTTTAAAATTCTAGTTGGGGTAGTTGCCCCCAGTGTGGATCTACAAGTGGCAACACCTCGACTTACGACTTAGGGTTCAAGAGCAATTATTGTAGCACATACCCCTCCTTTTTCTCATTTCTTTTTGTTAAGTTTGGAAGATTAACATAATTTTAGAGACAAAATTTTGGGAGAAACAGAGAGAGGTTAAAAATTTAACTTAACTCTCATACATCACTTGTATTTATACTTAACTCACAATAATAAGAATTACACATATACCCTCTTACTATTAATAATTTACACATACTACCCTATTATTCTTAACACTCTCCCTCAAACTAGACTATATATATATCATATAATCCAAGTTTGGAACAAATCGCTATAAGACGTGTACGACTCAATGCTTTGGTAAACATATCTGCAAGCTGATCTTCAGATTTCATAAATGGAATTGTAATTTCCTCAGCTACTATCTTGTTTCGAATAAAGTACCAATCAACATCAATATGTTTGGTTCTCTTGTAAAACACCGAATTGACAGCCGGATTGACAGCGATATGGATAGTTGTCGGGTTGTCACAGAACAACTGTAAAGGAAGTTGAACTGAAAACTCAATTTCTTTGAAGAAGTGTAGTAGTCAAGTCAACTCACTCGTCGTATGCGTCATTGCCCTATACTCAGCCTCAGCACTGCATCTTACTACCACAGATTGTTTCTTACTCTTCCATGAGACAACGTTACCTCCTAAAAAAATACAATAACCAGTGGTTGATCTCCGATCAAAAGGAGAGTCAGCCCAATCAGCATCTGAGAAACCTTCCACTCTAAGATGTCCATTAGCTCGATATAACAGTCAAAGTCCAGAAGCTCGTTTGAGATATCGCAGAATACGAGTAGCTGCCTCCTAATGTAGTATTCTAGGACATCCCATGAACTGACTTACTATACTGACTGCATAGAAAATATCCGGTCGTGTAATAGTGAGATAATTGAGCTTCCCAACCAATCTGCGATACCGACCTAGATTCTCAAACAGTGCACCATCATCCATCAAAAGTTTCTGATTCGAATTTATAGGAACATCAATAGGTCTACCACCCAGCAAACCTGTTTCCTCTAATATGTCAAGTACATATTTCATCTGGGATAAACAAATACCCTGTTTAGATTTAGTCACCTCAATACCCAAAAAATACTTGAGTTTTTCTAAATTTTTAGTATAAAATCAATCCTGCAAAAATATTTTTAACTTGGCAATCCCCTCAGAATCATTTCCAGTAATCACAATATCATCTACATAGACCACCAATTGAACATATCCAACATCTGTCTGACATCGAAAAAGGTCAAACTCTAAAACTGTATTTGAAAACTTACCAAATCATGCCCTCAATGACTACTTCAAACCATACAAAGATTTCTTTAACCGACATGCACTCTTACCATACTCCCCTGAGCAGTAAACCCAGGTGGCTGCTCCATGTATACCTCTTCAACCAAGTCACCATGTAGGAAGGCATTCTTGACGTCTAACTGAAACAAAGGTCAATCAAGATTAACAGCCAAAGAAATCAAGATACGAACCGAGAAAATTTTGGCAACAGGAGAGAAAGTCTCCTCATAATCAACACTATAAGTCTCAGTAAAGCCTTTTGCAACAAGTCGGGCTTTGAGACGCTCCACAGAACCATCTGGATGAAATTTAACAGTATATACCCAACGACAACCAACAGTTCGTTTATCAGGAGGTAAAGGAACGAGATCCCAAGTTCCGTTATGATGTAAGGCATCCATCTCCTCCTCCATAGCTTTCCTCCAATCCAGATCAGATAATGCATCCTGTAAATGCTTAGGAATAGATATAATAGATAATTTGGAAGTAAAACAAGAGAAGGCAGGAGACAAGGCATCATATGAAACAAAATGAGCAATAAGATGATTAGTAACACACAAACGAGAACCTTTTCGAAGAACAATAGGTAAATAGTCTAAATTACCTGATGTACCAGGATTAGAAGGCGGCAAGGAAGACGGTATAGGCACCTCAGTCGATAGGCGAGGACGGCAAGAATAGACACGGAGAGGAAAAATAGATAGTAACACAGTGGACAGCAGAATATCTGAAGATGAGGAAAAAGATGGTGGTACAGAAGATGACCTAAAGTCCAGATCCAAAGGCTGAGAAGGTGTTGAAAAATATGGAACAGATTCCTCAAACGTTACATCAACACTAGTAAGGTATCGGCGCAGAGAAAGACTGTAGAAACGATACACCTTCTGCGTGCGGGAGTAACCAAGAAATACAAATTTGGTAGATCGAGGGTCAAGTTTGTCAAACCCAGAACCCAAATTGTGAACATAACATACACATCCAAAAACCTTAGGAGTCAGAAAAAATAAGGGACTTACTAGAAAAAAGAACAAAATATGGGTTTTGCCCATTTAACACAGAGGATGACATACGATTAATAAGGTGACAAGAAGTAAGAACAGCATCACTCCAAAAATATCAGAGAATATTCATCTGAAATAATAAGGCACGAGTGACTTCCAACAAATGACAGTTCTTGCGTTCAGCAACACCATTTTGTGGAGAGGTATAAGCACAAGAAGTCTGATGAATAATGTCAGTTTTACTAAGATAAGCTGAAAAAAGATT